TAGTCACCCTTAATTTCTGCATTGAAGGCTTATGGACCACCAGATTTGAGGAAACAAACAAAAAAAACCAAAAAACAGAAAAGAAAGAAACGAAAAGGACCATCGAAGGGGTCTCAAAAGAAACCGATAGACCACACAAGGTGGTTATCGGATACCAGAACATAACAAGGCGGCTCCACCGTGCATGAGAATCCGGAGGGCTTCTCAGCATCCAAAAGCTCGTAACTCGTACTATCCCTTTAAAATTCATTCCCTGTTAATTTTCCCAAGGACTGTCCAGAACGGTACTCCAACACCAACCAATTGCATGCTTCGTCCTCTCTCCCGCATGCATGCTGCCACGTACTAGTACAGTTCCACGGCTATGCAAGCAATTTGACAATTTCTTTGCAATCCATTTCTTAACCTTTGTCTGGACATGATTCACGGTTGAGAAAAGAGAAAATCATAACATAAGAGGTGTGAGGGCTTTCGTCCAATTATAATTATTAAATATGTGTAAATTATAATTATATTAAATTTATTATATAATAATTATTAAATATCTTAATATTTTTAATATTAAAATATTTTAATTTTCCTTTTTCTTTTAGAGTTACTACTTTGTTATTTATTTTTTTAACGTTTGTATTCCCCTAAGAAAATTTATCTAAGACAGTGGCCTGTACCTATTATTTCTTCAACATTATGTTTTCAAAATTAATACATACATTATGCTTTTACTCTTTGAAGTTTTTAAATATTATATTTATTATGTAAAAATTTAAGTTATTCTTGTTTAATTCTTTATAATTTTTATACTTAACAATTCAACACTAACACAAGTTACAATATTTTTATTAAAACTCCGATTTTAAATAGAAGAGAACATTAAGACTTAATTATATATTTTTCAAAAGATAAAAATATTACAATTTAAATAAATCAATTTCTTGCATATTAAGTAGCTTAGAAGCCGCAAATTTTGTAATAGGAAAAAAAAAAAATCAAAAACCGATAAAATCATAGTTGACAGATAGAGTTTGATTAGATGTTGGATTTATTTGACTAAAAATTGAATCAAATTGATTTTAAACAGTTTAGGTTTTAGTTGTTAAATCTAAAAACTAAAAAATCAATGATTATGGTGAGTAGGTGATGTAGCAAAATAGATGGGAGAGTGGTAAAGAGCAAGTGCTGGAGCGAGTGCTCTTAGCATTGCTTTTTTGTTTAATAACTATTGTAATTAATATGTTTGAAAACGGAAATAAAAGAGTGTTTTATGTTTGACGATTGGTTTAAATTATTTCATAATAAATCAAAATCATAAAATAATAATTTTATAAGTGGTGTGTGATGAAAAGCGTCAATTTATGGGTATACACCTATCAGCGTCCTATATTTGTCAACTTGCAGTAAAAAAAAAAAAAAAATTGCCATCTCTGGTTCTGTTTTGAGTGGTGGCTTCACCCTTGTGATCCACCAGTAATAATACTACTTATATTCCACGACGTTTTATGCTGATTCATTCTCTTCTCCTTAACGGGGCACAATTTGTTTGCGTGCTGACACCTTTAGAACACTTATAGGTACGTTTCCAACATCCAAAAAGACGATTTCCTTATCACGTTTCTAATAGACACTACAAGAAAATTCATATTTAGTGATTAAATTATTAGTTATTAAATTTTTATTTTTTGTTACAAATTAAAATTAGTGATGAAGTTAAATCATTAGTAAAACCTTTGTTACTAATGCTTTTATTGACGAATTTAACATCTATCACAAAAAAATGATTTTATAGTGATAAAAAAATATACATTATTAATAAGTTATTTGTAACAAATTTAATTATCACAAAAAAATATTTTTTGTTACAATAATTTTCATCACAAATGTTACAATTGAGTGACAAAAAAATAGTCACAAATGCAATTGTGATGAAAAATTTAGTTATTAATTATTAAAATTGATATTAAATAAAAAAAGATATTTATATAATTACAACATTAATATTGTAACAAAAATTTTGTCACAAAAAATTAATATATAAATTTATCACAAAAGTTTAATAAAAAAATATTATTATTTCAACACTAATAAATTTTAATTAAAATTAATCAAGTCTGATTAAAATTAATTAGACCCAAACTAATCTCAAGTTTTATTAAGCTTCACATGTTTTATAATGTAAAAATTTATTTTTTTAAATATTTCTCATTGATGTGGGATATATTTATAGTGTAAAACTTTATTCTCTTATGTATTTTTTATCGATGTGTAATGCATTGATTATAGAAAATTAACAATTTTTAGTGACAAAATATATTTTTAGTGATGAATTATTTGGTCATCATTGAATATGTAAAGTATATGTGACCAATATTAGAATTCTGTCATAATTGTAATGAATTATAGTGATGATTTTTATCGACAAAAACTTATTTTATCTTTATAAATATTTTTCAGTGATGAAATATATTTTTTATGATGAATTTTTTTCATCATTAAATTTGTACGCATCTGTGACTAATTTTTTAGATCTGTCACAATTGCGAGAAATTATAATGATAATTTTAAAATTCATCACAAATTTCAGTCACTAAAAACTATTTTTCTTGTAGTGAGACCATGCTTTCTTTATATGTATATATATATATATTAAATAATAAATTATATATTAAAAAATAATTTAATTTTTTTTATCTCTTTTAATCCATATCAATATTTAAATTTATAATTTTTAATTTAAAATGTGGAATTCTTCATCACTTGAAATACTTCTCGTGAGTTTCGTCTTTGCTTTATAAATGCACAGAATGTGAAGTAATTTTGAGAATGGTTCCCTCCTTGTTTTTTGAAAGAAAGTAATGAAATCTTTCGGGCTCAGCAGGGATTGGATTCCTCAGTTCAAAAAAATTGA